GCTATCAATAACTGAAGCGAGACCACCTTGGACCATCTGGAAAGGTTTCTTGTTAGAATTTTCCTTACTTCATACGTGCATAAGTGTCGAAGACGGCACTATGGGTCTCGTTATGCACGGGACTGTTTCTGTTTCCGTTCACTCATTAACGCATCCGTTTCAGATTAGAGTTCCACGGTGTAGTGCTGGAAGCAACTGATGGAAAGCAGATGTATGTATGTGTCGGATCGAACGTAACTCCACGTCCAGTTGAAGCTACCGGGGAGATCAATTAGCATCACTTAATCTCTTTGTATCCGTTGACTGACTCGGCTGTTGTAGTAGCTGGAGCGGGGATGTATTAAGGGAGGGCCGAGGACGTTACTCAAAGGAAGAACGAGGCAGCATAATACTTTATGTGGTCATCTTAAGTCTGGCGGTTGCCTTACGCAACCTCTGGTCCTTATACGCGTAAGCTAACCTTTGAGCCGAGCTCAGATCTGTTGTCCTTGTTCTCCTCAGGATGCGTGAACTCACCTTCAATCAATGTCTTCGTCTACCCGATGGGAAGTCTTGGGACGCTACAATTTTTGACTCAATTTGGCAGCACCGAATGCCCTGATTAACCACGGCAAAGCTACTCACTGATTTACCAACCACCATATTTTATTTCTCTATTTTCACTGTGCCTTCACGGTCGTAATCTTCACGACCATTTTTTTTACCCTGACTATGCCAATACAGTTGAATTCCTGATAAAGTACACTCATTTGAGGCAACGTTGTTAAAGGCTGGACTCTTGCCAACGCACGAAGGCACACGACTCAAAGTAATTAGCCCCGCTATAAAGTACATTTAGGAGCAGTACTGGTGATTAAATTGACGAACGTGTTTGGTGTTTGTTCCAGTCAGTATAACCTTGAAAAGACTTGATAAAGCTAATCCATTTGAAGTAGTTTACTGTTCCCGTACCAATGCCCTCGGCGGGATACCAAATTAAATGTCTTGACAAAGCGTGAAAATCGGTTTGAATATTCTATCAATACTATTGGCCCAATCCCTGATTTGACTTCTTTTGCACTCAAATAGTTTTGTACGGAACATAATAATGGTGGCATTGTAGCGTCCCGAGACTTCCTAGCCGGTATAGGAAGACAGCAAGTGCAGTTGGATGCATGTGTTCCGAAGACGAAAGAGCAGATGGTCCTGAGCATGGCCCAAAGACCAGCACACATTTATGAGGACCAGGTCAATCCTAAAGTGACCACCAAACGTCATATGGTCACATAAACATAGCATTACGGGCATAATACTGATACTGCCACCACAAAAGCGCGTCTCACTCCTTTGTCGAGGCTATTCAATGCTTCTAGAAGAGTGTTTAAAGCTAACAATTGTTATCACAGTGACTATTACCTTCGATCTGCATGAATTAATGCGCATACTAGTTGCTGGAAGCGATCGTTTCTTTCATAGATTTTGGGGTGTTTTTATAGCCTTCGCTAAGTTGCGTATGTCCATCTTACTCACTCCTCGATTAAAATTGCACGCGATGACCACTGGAGCGCTGGGCAGCGCACCTTCGCCCCCATTGCCATTCTATCATTGGCCGTTAATGGAATGAACTGAGGAAATTGGACCAAAATAAAGTGTCTTAAATGAAATGAGTCAGGAACTACCAAAACAGCCCACAAAGCGCTTTGCAATCCCCTACTTTAATTGCAGTGAACTTTTAAGTATTAAGGAGATAACTTAGTAAGACTGATTCTTAGTGAAGATAGTACCACTCGATAAGAGAGATGTCAAAAAAGGAGTAACAAAATGACAAAGATGTCAAATTTAAACAGGTTCAATAGTTTGACCACGTCAGGAGTGACAATGTCTGCCTGGTGTTTGATTAGAGGCTTCTCTAACGGTCTGAAACGTTTCTTGCTGTCGGAAGATACAACACATTGTAGCCTGTGATACCTTTCACGTCCACTCCTCTGCATATCACTAACGCCATCTTCGAATTTTGTGGAACAGCATTTCCTCCCAATACCCACTCAATAGGGATGATATAATTGTATCACTTTCGCTCTGTTTAGCACAGAGCGCTACTGCGCTAATCTCATGGCAAGAAAATTAACCCAAAATGATGGCTGTACGTGGTAAGGCAGGGTTTGCAATGCCGTAGCACTGTCACCTTGATCTCACTTCGACACAACGCAACCCGTCCATTCAGCAGCCTACCCAAGTGCCTCCCAACGCAGAGAATCCTTTTTTCCTCACCCAATTAAGGCAGTTCGAAATTTTCAAGCCTGTTCCTCTAACTGTTCGTGACTTCCTTTCAAAACACAGGATGTGATGTTTCTCTCACTCTTTACCATGCTTTTATAGGAGTAGAAGCATTTAAAAGGCAAAAATAACGATAGATGTATTCCTTCGTGCAAAGGTATTTCACAATACCACCAACGTAGAGTCACTAGTTGCGATTGCAGAAGCAGAAAGCCAAAGTACTATAGAAAGAAACATTTATTACTAGTGCACATAGGGAATGAAGGGAATTGCCCCCCTCTGAAGAGGTATTTAAATCCCCTGACTTGAGGCTCGTGTACTGGGCACAAGGCTTGACTATAGAACAGTAAAGAGTGTGGAATTATTTATGAGCATATCAAAGTTGGAAAAAGTAAAATATGTTTTAGGTGTCAGTACAGCATTCTTTGGTGTTCAATGAACCGCCCTTCCCTCCCTTTTAATTCATTCCAACTATAAAATGTCCTTCAGTAAAAATGATTTATGAGATGAAGCTGAGCACTTAAAACGTCAACTTTAGGCCGATTCAAAGACTATGAAATACCCTCGTCACACTTGTGTTGCGGACCTTGAGAAAGATACAGTAGATTATAAACCAAACTTTAAAAAAATTATTAAAATTTGACCAATCTTCGGATAAGTGCATCCCAGTACGCCGTACATTCGCATTCCCATTTTTAAGTAAAACAAGTTCGGTGCTAAAAAAAGGAGAAAATCCCAAAGAGGTCCAAGTAACGAAGCTAATTTAATGCGTTTGGGGCTTTTATGAATACGCACTTTTCACGGAAAGTAACAAAAACATTAGTGGAAATCAAAAATGAATCAGCGGAATTAGGGTGAAGCGGACGGAAGGGCGTGCCCAATTTTCATGCTATCAAACAGTGCATACACTAGTGCCCGACCTTCAAAACAAACACTTCTCACCCCCCTGCCACACTCACATTGTACTTTTCCCTTCTCCATCACCTCTCCTCCCTTAGCCTCCCTTCCCTCCCCTCCTCACAACCCACCCCATCTACCCTCGCATCTCCTCTCACCTCACCTCACCCCACCACACCCCACCTCCCACCATAAATGTGCACTCCACCTTGAGTGCCACATCGGCACCTTCACTTTGGCACGCACGACCTACACATCTCATATTTGACATGACCTTGATGTCACACACGTGAGGCACATCAGGGGATCGGAACGCCCTATTGCGGCATGACCACTCCACCTCGTGACAGTTGACGTAGGAGCAGCGACATTCGCGTGCACCTGCGGCTGGTGACAAGTACGTCATGTTGAGTGCCAATGCCACCCAGCATGCTCCGCGAGTGGATAGCACCCACCACTACAACATGGAATGAGTGTGTGTATGTCCAACCAATTGCAGCATTGTGTATTCGATTGGGAGAAGGTGAATCAGTGGTGGGAGGGAACATACTACCACCTGTCACGCAGCATTGCGTACGAGAGTGAGTAAAGTGGGAAGGCGTAGAAATGGGTGGGGGGGAGGGAGGGAAGGTGGTACTAGTGTGTGTGTGTATGCTTTAGGTGGCGTTGAATTGCCCGCCACCAGTGGACGATGTCATGAGGAGGTGATGCACTTGACTCGGAGGTAGGAGGGGCAAATGTGGTGGGTGAGTGTAAGCGTAGGCATGAGAATGTGTGGGGAGTAGTTGTCTTGCTTGCCCACCTCCCAACCACAACGCTCATTCGTACCTGACACACTGCACTCTCACCCATGGCGTTAGTTGATGCGACAGTGTATGGATGAATGTGGGTTGAGGGAGACAGGCAGAGTAGGAGGAAGAGCAGGTGAAGCAGGAGGAGGCGGTGGTGGTGGTAATGTTGGTGCTGGTAGTGGTGGTGGTGGTGATGGAAGGGGGAAGAGGAAGCTGGTAGGGACCATGAAATGAGTTGCTTAGGAAGTGGCCATAACGTACGCACAATCACACTGCCATGCATGCACATGAGCATGCAGACGGAAGTAAAAACTACACAAAGTGGATGGCGTGTTGGGAAGTTGGTCTGTGACATGTGGTGACAGTTTTAGTGTGGACTCAAGCCTTCCTCATTGAGCCGAATGGTGACGATGATGCTCGAGTGACGAGAGTGTGGATGGGCTGCGAGTAATTGGTGGTGTTGAAAGTGGTCAGTTTGACAGTTCCCGTGAAGGCAGTGGTTGAACAGCCACCAGTGGAGTGGTACTGTGGTCCACAGTTTGCGTATGTCGTTACTAATCTTGCTGTGTCGTGTGTGTGGCTGCACCGGTTGATGTGCGGTGCCAACGCCACTCCAGGAGACGATGTTGTTAGGGGTACCGAGTGCGACCACTTCAAGATAGCACCGCCTATTGCCGCGCTCACCACGCCTCCGCCAAGTGGGAAGCGTGGAGAGTGAATTTTGGGGTGGTGAGTGCGCGAGTATGCATGTCTGGACGACACTGCAGCACAACGTGTCGCCCACCTCCTTCTCCTCAGTAGTGTGCAAATGTGGTATGCAACAACCCATCGTCCGATCCGTTGATCAGCACAGACCAACGTCAGGCAGGAGGATGTAGTAGAGCGTCTCCATTCCAACCGCTTGATGGTGGCAGCGTCATGCTTAGGGTGAGACACTGCGTAGACTGCACTATGTGTTTCCTTGAAGCCCGACTGGCATTGCACGAAGCACGATATGTCGACGTGTTTGGACGGAGATCGGTGTTGTGTTTGCGATTCCTGTGCTTTTAACACCACAAGCCTCTCTCCCAACATCACCATAAGTGGCCTCAACTGGCAGTCGGATGTCGTCTCGTGGTGCCTCTTTCCCATAAGGCAGAGGTCTTCCTGTGACTCCTCCTTGTGGAGGTGAGTGTGGCAAGTCAATGTCTGTCACGCATAATGCAGTTTCCTCATTGCAGTCTCATGTGCCGATACACATTGGACCACTCATCTTTGTGGCATGGGAATGCGTTGCGCGCACCCTTCCAATGTCATTGCCACGAGGCACATCCATCCTGGAATACTGTAGTATTTGACGGAAGGCAGAATCTGAGAATCGAGAGGAGGAGGAGGAGGAAGAGGCGTGGAAAGTGGGCATTCCATCGGTGCAATTGGACTTCGTTTTTTGGGGTGGAGAATTTTGCGAATTGTTGATAGTGTGAGGGTTTTAATGCTGCACCACCACTCTATGCAAGGTGAATTTCAAAGGAAGATCCCCACACACTTTCCTCAGACAACACTCGGCAATCCATTCAATCGTTCAGTACGACACCATTGCATACACTGGTGCTTCATGCGATGAGCCCTGCAATCACCTGGAGCAGATGTGCCATCCAACAATGACTCTGCATTCGACTGTGGCCATTACTGTCAGTTTGTGTTGGAGTTGATGCCTTGCAATTGACTCTTCAACGGTAGCGTAGCGAGACTTGGTTGGTGACGAGTTTGAAGGCAGCAGGAGTAGGACGAGAGTGTGCGATGTGCGGTGTGTGGAGAAGGTGGCTTCGTCGACACTGTCCTTCCTTCGAGGCATATCAACAGAGGTGACTGGGATGTGGGTTAACAGAGCAGATGTTTGCGTCTCGGTAGCCTTCTTCGCATTGTAGCGTTCACGTTCGACGTCGTCACACGCAGCAGTGCCATTGGCGTCGGTCATGCAAACACTTACTCTCACCTCCTGCACTCTCGCCACTCATGTGCACACTCTGCACCGCCAATTGTGTGTCTGATGTGTGTGTGTTGTTGGTGGTGGTGGCAGTCAAGCGGAATGTTGGTGTGAGGTGATCGTTGCGTGGCATAGATGCGATGCTTGTACAAGGTGGTGGGGCTGTGAGACGCATTGGGGAGGCAATCCCGTAGAACCGTACAAGACGAGTGTCCTACAGTGCTTACCCACTCCGTGCGACCGAATCCACTTAAGCAGGTTTTCACATGCCTGCACAGTGCCCTCGCCTTTGTCACACCAACTGCCATGACCTTGGTGGCCGTCGCCGTCCTATGGAGGAGGACAGAGGCCTACAATGGGGTGCATTTCACAAGAGACGAGATTTAGGGTAGTCTCACAGGTTTAGTTTATTTTTTGTTGTGTCTCTCCTTACCTGCATTGCACCATCCTCTCATATTTGCAGCCATGCTATCTGTTCACCTATCGTGGTGTCCATCTGCCTGCCCATCCACTCCACTCTACTCCTCCTCCTCCTGCTAGTCGCCAACATCTTTTTAGCTTTTGCTAAATATTCTTCGCTATAATGTTTAACCCATTTTGCATAATGATAGTCTATTTAATCATAGTGAATGAAGATTTTTGCTTCTTTTTTAACTTTTTATCAAACCTATTGTAGCTCTTATTTCTTCGACCACATTTATATATATACACCCTTTTATCTAGTTTATTTCCTTTTACTCTTATCACATCTTTTTAGTTTTTGTCCAATTGCTCAAGCTGGACTGAGAGGGCAGCACTTCTTTTGGTACTTAGTACCTTCATTTAGATGTTATATACACTTCCTTATAAGGTCTTTTTATATAATCTGCGTCTGGTGCCACTTTCCATGCTCTTGGCCTCGTGACACATGGAGGCTTAACAAAAGCAGTTCGATTCGCGTCTCATTTTATATTTACATGTTCATCTATCACACAAACATTCGCGCACACAGTTAAGAAAAATGTCTAGCTACCTCGATAGTGCGATTTGAGAAAATATGCGAACTGAGAGAATGACCGGTAATGGAAACAACAGTCATTCGAACACCTTAGTGATAGAGGCTTCGAAAACTACTAATGCTAAGAATAAGTAAGCATTGCATGATCAGTGTTTAACAGTTTTTATCTAGCTTGGAAATTGACTTTACGATGCTTAAATCCCTCTTGAAGTGCCTGACCTTTGCGATATGCAAATAAACTCTCGGCTTTGGTGGTGCACCTTTTGAAACTAACTCACTATACTTAGTTTTAAAAAGCATACTCTCAAGCTTTGCCCGTCAGTTTAAGTAATTTAAAGAGTATCATTCGCTTAATGTTTCCTGAGGAAAATGACGTCAAAGCAGGATTATGCAGATCAAGGAAACACTCGTTTCAGCAGCACCTCAGTTTGTGAGGTCGTATTTGTCATATCGACTAAGCAGAAAATAAATTACCTGTGCAGAGAAGATCGGAGGCTACTTACACAGCTCAGAGCCCATACCCAAATTTACTGCGACAGAGTCAGAAGATGCAGATCAATAGACTGCAAGATGATGTGCCATCCGTAGTTCAAGGCTTTTTAGAGAGAAAAGAGACAGACCGCTTCAATTTTATTTTGTTAACGCCAAATGTTTCTTTGACCACTGAGAATACAAAGCTTATGAGGTTCCCAGAAACGGTTTCAAAAATATATGCGGTGCCTGGGTGCGTTTTGCAGCTATGAGGACTGATTATGAGCGCAATGAAGGTTAAAGCATCGTGCACCCGCTGAGCGACAATTCTCTTAGATCACACTTTGAAACGACGGCAAAAAGGTTCTACACTAACACCATATTTTCTCCTGACATTAGTAAACTCTCCAAAGACTACAACAAAATGATCTAAGCTTTACTTCAAATCCTGCCACACGATAATAAAGCATAAAAACGTGTTTGTGGACTGCTAACAATACCATCATACCATACAATGACATTAATTTCCAATGTATTCATGTGCTTCAATTAACAAATAAGTTAAATGCAAATATAATTGCCTTAAATTAGTGTAGCTAAAGTGTTTGCCATGAACAGCTTGCTTTTGCAGCTCAACTTAAATCACTGATAGTGGTTTACAAGGACTTTGTAAACTGCATTCCTTTAAAACCCAATATTTTGTCGTAGTGGCTAATGCTTAACCTAACGCCTATTGTTTGTTCAATCCGTTACGCATAAGGTTTGGGCGCCGTAAAGGTCTGGCCTTTCTATTGGCCACTTTCCAGTTTTGTACTTTGGTCGTGCGGTCTGATGGAGATATCGGTGAAGAGGCTCGGTCAGCCGGCCAAAATTATGAACGTAATATCCAGCACACTTTATTCGCTATTTAAAGGTGACAGAAGCAACAACAGTAGCCGAACTCCTGCCACAAATATCATCTGACTCTGGCGTTGAGAGTGAGCGGATTTCTCTCATATTTAATGGAACACCATTGAGTGGTAAGCTCTCTGTTCTGTTCACTGTTAGACAAGAATCGAAGTCTCAAGGATTACTCCATCAAATCAGGAGACCGGATAATGGTGGTTGTCAAGGCCGATTTAACACCAAGTTTTGAGCAAATACTACAGAAGTATCTACAGACATCTTACAGCACACATGATGCAAAAGTAATAACCTCAAGATTCATGAGTGTACGTGTCTGATGGGTGAATTTCACTTTACTGTTGCTGAAAAATGTCAACGGCTTAATCGATTATGGAATTTTATTCCCATAGCTACTTTCAAAGACTCTGGATTCTCTGAGCATCGACGACATTGATCGATTGGCCAATGCCTTTAGCAGGTCCTGTTGACTTAACCGGGACCCAGCGTTACCTTGCCTTTCATTGACTTGCAAGCTATTAGTAACACTTATCTTAAAGGTATCCCGGCTTTGATGTAAATAAATGCACGTACTTGCGAATTATTCTCCGCGTTCTCCTGTTTTTAACGCTCTCAGCTTGGATAGTCTTAGGCCTTCTGATGCTGACTCACAACTGCTGTGAAGCTGAACTAGTCCCTACACTTTCTGAGTGTTCGCTTAACAGTGCAATACCTGTGGGTTACGCCGCGACTCTATCCCTTCTATGGATTCCTTTATTAGAAGCATAAAAGGCCAAACAGTTGGTGCGGAGCCTAAAGTTTATTGTGGTCTGTAAGAGGATTAGACGGGCAAAGGTGGTGAGGACCACGGGTTGGCGGTTACACTAGGTCCTCTGCATCGATCCACAGCCGCCGGCTTTTCGAAGCTTTATGGGACGGGTACTTTTTGCTAGTGTCCAGGCCACTGACTATAGTGGACCTCCCGGGAAATGGTGAAGTAGAGAAGAAGGATTTGTCGTCGGGGTTGTATCGAATGGGATCAACTTGTATAACGAGGTTTTGGGGTAAGTTGGACAATCTTGAATGTTCTTCAAGCATTGCAATTAGTTTATCCTCCGGCTCAACAGCTTTCAGAAAGTAATCTTTCACTCCTTTCAAATCCTCGAGCTCGTGTAAAAAGCTAGAGGGTATTGTGTGGTTGAATTCTTGCATACAAGCCTTCAAAAACTAAGAGCCAATGAACAGATAAAATGCCATTACCTTAACCTTAGATTGGCGGCTGGGAAATTTGAAAGAGTCATTTGAGTCTGTGAATGTGGGGAGAGTGCGTCTAGCAATTAATTTCAAGCGAGCCTCCACATCTTCAGGAGGTCGATACGGCTTGATTTTCAGACTGTAAGTAGTGAGGTTTTAAATGCAAACAAACCCTCGATAAATTACAGCGAATCCACTGCCTTTAGTAAAGCCCCTGCTAGTATACATGAGCTCTCAGATGAAATGCGAAATTGCACACCAAACTTGACCTTTACACAAGGTCGAAAAAGTGCGTAATTTTTCAATGGGATATATTAAAATGTTTTAACAAAACTGTAAATGGAACAAGAATATGACCTAAATACCCAACCAGCCCCTGGCACCATCCCACACGGATAACTTGTCGCTCCCGCCCAGTACTTAACAAGGCTAACTAACAAACGCGGGCAAAAACTAGGACCAACTTCCCCAAAAGCCGTTGAGAGTACAAACAGAGCGCCTGCATAAGCTTCTAGTGCCACAATAAATAAGTGACATTGTTCTTCCTCCCGCTATTCATAGGAACACTCGCCGACTCCGACGAAAAGCCTTCCGCCCGGTTCGTCTCCGATAAAATTGTGTTGTGTCTCCTCCCAGCAGCGTTATCATCAGTCTCCTGTTTCTCTTTCAATAACTTCGCCGTGAACGCCACCACAGCATCTGGGAGTGTCGTTGTCTTCGCACTTGCTGTCTGCCGATCACAGGAACGCCCGTCATTAAGGTGATTAGTTGGTTTCAGAAGGGAAGACTTGACAGCCCAAGCAGAAGCTTCATAGACCAGATCGTCCACTGACTGTACCCCATCCATCATTCGGTCCTGCAGAAGATTCCAAGCTCTTACCTCCGCATTAGAATTCGCGTTGGAGGCCATGGGTGAGAGTGCTTCACTAATCGGGTAACAATGCAGACGGTGAATTAGGTTATTCACCTCTCCGAACTGGACTAGACAAAGGAGATTGAGGCAGGGTAAGGTAGAACTCCTGGTTGCATTCGAATGAAAGCATGGAGGAAGTTGAAGCTCTACGAAAGACTGTGTAGAAGCCAAGAGGAAGGCAAGATTGAGATAGGGTGAGGCGCAGAGTTTAGAGTAGACTTGCAAAATCTTCATGACTAGACCGTGTGGATCGGTGATGTGAAGACGGCGCCGTTTGGTCGCTAACGATAGCTGAAAGAGTAAAAGACAAATTCTGATCCTACTTATGATGGACTCCTTCAAATTACCCATCTAAAACCATGACCGAATCGACACAACCTTGAGCAAAATTTCAGATTCTGAAGCTAAAACAGAGTTTTGGCATTTACACACAAACGGCGCATACTATTTTACTTTCTGATTATCAGTGATAGTCAATCCTAACGTCGTGGGTCAGTCACCACGCCATTCATTAAAGTTATAAACGGTAGGCCTTTGAAGTCGAGGGCATATGGGTGTAAGGCGCCCTGACAACGAAAATTAAGGCCTACACGCAAGTGCTTGCCTATGCCTGCAGATTATCTTGGATAGAAATAAACCTTCACATCGACCAATAATGCGCTCAGCCATCATCATTCTTTCAAATCCATCAACAAGTAGAACACTCAATACCATGAATGTTTGTCGTCCTTAGACGCTCCACCCTGGAAGAATATTCAATGCTAAAAACACAAAGGGATAAGCGAAATGTTTCAAAATAACTTGCATTTGCCACTTTTACCAGGTGACTGAAGCGTGCCCAAGTCTTTAGTGTGTGTAGGAAAATGAATCCAGTTACATCTTATCAAAGTTTAAACAATGTGTTTAACAAAATTTGGAATCGGAACTCAACTCGAGCGCCATCGTAAGCCGCTAGTAAAGTAGACTTACCACCGACTCAAAACAGGCATCTCTCAACTTAACGTCAACAGCCAGACGTAAGAGCCTTGGTAGTCCCACGTATCCAGGTACGGCAAAGAGTTCCCCGTCATTTGAACAGATATTGTTACCCGTGATAGAGGAATGGAAGAAGATGGGGGCTGACACAACATGGACTACGCCCAACTGAGCTAGCTGAGTAAGGCAGAGCCTCGCAATACTCCGGTCCACATTGGCTAGACCGGCAACCTGCGCGACAGTGCGTTGGCCGTTGACCAAGGGCAAGAGACGACTAGAAACGAGGTCTCGCGTCTCCCAGAAGGAAGTGGAGAGGTTGTCGTCATCCTGCGGCTCCAACACATATATGAGGTGGTTGCCAAGGGAGGTGAGAATGGGACGGACTCGCACAAAAATGGTGGCATCAGTGACGGCGGTAGTGCTGTCTTCGAGAACAGAAGGCACCCATCGCCAAACATCACTACCCCCGATCGGTGCTTCAGAGTCTCCAGTTTCCTCCGGCCCGTCCGTAGGGGTACACAAATCAGCAGGCAATTCAGCTTCAGTGGGGATGAAACAGGTTGACACTGAGTTGTTCACCGCTCGCGGAGCGAACTTGATAGAAAGAAAGGGAATTGAATAGCTCGTCGTGTTCGCTACGAACAAAACACCTGTGATTCATTTGCACACCATCAATTCATCCTAATTGACTAAACAGAACAGTATTGAGAGCTTATTATTAGTTTAAGAAACCATAAGGCAGGCTTAACAAGTTGGGAGATTGAAAAGGATAATTACGCCTTTCGATTTTATGCTGTAGCTGAGATAATCCAGGCGCCTAGTGATAATTGGCATCATATTGGAACGGCAAGACGTTTGAGAAGCTGTGATGGTAGCCCATGGTGCCTATACCAAAAACACAAGACCACATTGGGGCGCCCTATCAACAAACCAGGTACGGAAGGTCGGTGCGAAATTCACTGTTGCAAACCTACTCTACATCAAATTCCAGTAGGCTACCACGAACAAGAATGTGAATTGCTTCACGAGACAGAGGATGAATGTTTAAGTGGACAAGAACAACTGTAGCCTCATTACCAATCGTATGAATCAGGTTAAAAATTACTATCTTGCAATACTTAAAAATTCAAACTTTCGTAGCGTCATTTATTGATTGGCGAGGCAGAAAACGAAGCATAAGTGCAACCGTAAATAAGAATTAGATGCAGTGGTGCTGTAGGCACCAAGAGAACTGTGACCTTTTAATTCTTTGAGTATGACTTATAAAGATTTCGTAAAATACTCAGCTGTACTTTGTAACGACGGCTGTTCCTGCAAACACAAATCAAGCATCAAATCAGAAGGTTCAAAAGTCTGAATAAGCCGTTCAAAATGAATAGTCAAAATTTCCCCATAAAGAGGTTATGTAAAACTTCCTGCATCAACGTTGATTTATGCTTTAAAATGAGCATGATTAGGAAACACATTAAAGTAGGCGATTGATAGGCTAAAAAATACCCTACAATTAGATAAAGCGGTGGAAGATCGTCACTTAAGCTGGTAACGCAAAGTCCCTTTTCCCGTAGATCGGTGAAAATTTGACGAAGAAATCGATGTATCAGTATCTCCTCGCTCCCATCAACGGCCCTCTTGATAGTGTCCCGTGACAACGCAGCATTTTCCTCTTCCATGTACGCTAAATACCGATTAATCTTCCGGACGGTAAGTTCGTAGGCCGATTGCAGGGCGGGCTGAAGCCCATTACTAAGGTTTTCATGATCGAGAGGAAAATCCTGTCCAGTAAGGTCACAGTGTTGCCATTGAATGTCGCGTGAATGAACAACGAAACACAGATTGAAAAGGAGGGTGTTTCTTGAGTACTGGGTTCCCTCGATGCGTTGCGGGAACCCAATGATAAAATGCCCGAATTCGGCAATGACTATCGGTTGGTCAGTTAAATCAGCACGGGGAATCACAGCATGAGCAATGAGCTTAAAATTTTCGCTAGAAATGTATCCATCTGGATACTGGCAGTCAATCATAGAGCCTTGAACATTTTCAAAAGTGCAGTATATGACAGCTGCCAACTCCAGAGCTTTAACAGCAGCCTGAACAAAAAGAATCAAATAACGAACTAAAAGATAACCTATAAACACAAAGAGACGTAAGGAGCACTGGAAACGGTTTATGGAAGCAATTAATTCACTTAAGAGTAATAATGTGCTTAAGCTTAAAATATGGACGCATTCGAAAGTTACGGGGTTCAAAATACACTAAAATGAAATAAGTACATGGGATCAAAAGCGTAATGAGGAAGCAAACCATGATCCCAAATGATGTCCCACATTATTAAATAAACTGTTTATAGAAGGCACACCAATACAAAGAAGCGCCTGAACAAGTCCTACCAATGGAATATATAGAGCGATGACTAACATTAATCTACGTCAAAACGTGGTTATAGAACAGCCGCTACAGTAAGATACTTATATGATATTATGGGATATAGCAAATAAAATGTGTGTTTATCTAATACAATTTGTAACAGCCTTGTATTTTACCATTTGAGGTAAAATATAAAAAATACAATCTGTTAAGATACTGCATGATTTAAAAAAATTAGAACTTGCGCTTTAGTAATGCTATATTTTTTGCAAGTTCTTAACAAGTCTGACTATCTGACGTTTGGCGGTGACTTTAGAACTTGTCTAGGTCCAGAGCACGTGGGCTGGCCTTCGGGTCACGCTCGGGTCCCCATTTCTCCTATTGTTTTCGGAATACATGCATTCAACCTCAATTATGCCTTCTACTACCCCATTTGGAGCCTCGGGACGCTACAAAGGCTTTATCTGCAAACAAATCCAGTCAGCCAGATCAATAGATATCGTGCACTATCGACATCAGCCACCTTTAAATTTAAATCCAGTTGGCACAAAAGTCATCTATTCCGACTAGGAAGAATTTTTGTGTTCCGCTATTTGTTCTCGCACCCATGCTGTACAGTATCGCTCAACACATGCATCTTCCCAACCCTTCCTATCTAACGGTAGAAGGCAATTGGCATGGCTGGTGGCTTGTGGCTGGGCAGAAAGAGTAGACGCGAAAATATATCTTATCTTTGGAGTCAGCCCACATTTAAGAGACCGTCATTCATACAGACAGTTAAACGAGCGAAATACTACAATACGCAAGTTATGTTGTGCCTGCGACCAGGTTATCTCGAGCCCTTTATCCTACTTATAAACAAAGTAAACATGTCAAGCTGCTAGTGAAATTGTAACATCTCGAGACTTTGCATCTATTAGTAGAATGCAATTTTAGCGTCCCCAGACTTCTCACAAGGTAGGAGAAAACATTAAGTGGTACTGAATAATCCTAACCTTGTCCCGAACACCAGGTTAAGCACATGAGGGTCTGACAAAATTAAAGCAACCGCCAGATATCCGACGGTCACGCAAACTACCTCACCTCCATTTGAGCGACTTCCCTGGCGCTGTCTTTGATTTACTTCCATTGCCAACCATTGCAACATATTTGGTACTTCAAGAAGCACCCACGAGACAGCTACGCCAGTCAGCAGTCAACATGAGTGAGGAGCGATACTTATACACCGTCCCGAGAATTCCTACTGGGTAGAAACGTCAGTAAGTGAAGCAAGATACATGCATTCCAAGCATAACAAAGCAACTAAGCCTGAGCACGGCCTGGAAGTCAGCTCTCGGATACAATGGCGAGACAAATCTTAAAGTGACGGCCAATCGGTGTTGCATAAAAACAGCATTACAACTTGGTCTTCCCGACAGCTTCAACTGGACGTGGAGTTACGATCGGTCCGACAGCCAGATTCAGAGCTACATACATCTGCTTTCCATCAGTTGCTTCCAGCACTACACCGTGGAACTCTAATCTGAAACGGATGCGTTAATGAGTGAACGGAAACAGAAACAGTTCCGTGTATAACGAGACCCATAGTGCCGTCTTCGACACTTATGCGCGTATGAAGTAAGAGAAATTCTAACACGAAACCTTTCCAGATGGTCCAAGGTGGTCTTGCTTCAGTTGTTGATAGGTTGTCTTGTGGTCTGTTGGTTGTGAAGACTCCAGGGATTCTCCTGTCACCGCTGTAAATGCGCCTCCTCCACAACGTACGTAAATGCAATAAACGGCACATACTAGCATAAGTGGTTCGCTTTCCATTGCCATTAGTATAGCATGGCGAGACTGCCCATCGGGTGGAAGAAGCAGTAAGTGGAGCTGAATACATGAATTCTATGGAGAGCAACTGGATTAAGCCTGAGCTTGGCTTTAAGGCGAGCGCAGAATTACAGGAACCAGACGAGTCTTACAGTAACTGCCAGATATCAGGTGATCACATAAGCAAAGCATTACAACATTAAAAATGGTTGGATGATCGCTATCAGGACGCAATACAAGAGGTGCATTTTTACACTCCATAGGCCAGCCCATCCAACAAAAGCAGAATAAACACCAAAGTTACTGATATTCATGTAAAATGACACCGAATACACAGCATATCAAAGTACTACATCCAGTATAATATCTTTCGTTCCCCCTCATCCATTCAAATTCTTTATCTCAGGCGTCTTATGATGTCCATGGTTTATTGCCCACCCCTAGACTGGTGCAGGCAGAAAGGGGAAAAGAGTATGTGCAAATGGAAAATCAGTAGCGACCATTATGGCGGCCTTCAAATTAAGCCAAAGCCCAGCGTCTTCCCATTCATGCCTTATGCATCCAGTAGATGGAGTGAATGCTTGTAAACCATGAGAATAAGAAGGGAATGGGTCTTGAATTGTCCCGAAGGCCTGCCCACCTGCACCAAGGCTTGACGAATCCCAAAGTAACCGCCAAAAATCAGGTGGTCACATAAACCAAGTATTAAAATATTGGATGCAAAATGTGTAATGCTTTGTTTATGTGTTTGGCGGTCACTTTAGAATTTGTCTGGTCCCTGTACACGTGAGGTGGCCTTCGGGCCACGCTCAGACCACATTTCTCCTATTGTCTTCGGAATACATATATTAAACCTCACTTATGCCTTCTACTACTCCATGGGAAGCCTCGGACGCTACACTGGTGGCAGTGGAAAGCGAACCCGATATTTTCTTAGCGACTTTTAAGTGTAAGGTGCTTTTGAAAGCGACATAGTGTGTGGAAAAATGGGTTGCTCAACAGACACCGCTGTCCTACTGACATCCTACGTTTGCGTTGCTAAACGTTGACAATTATTCGACTGATTTCCGAAAAAGAGCAGTACGAACAACTGACGAGCAACGGTTCGATCAGATGATGCACTGGTTCAATTGATGAAGATATCTCAAAATCGGGTTCCTTCGGTCAGAAAGTAAAAAAAACCTCTCTTTTCACGACAAGAAGGTTATAATCCAACCAGCGGACGAAACTCTTTAATAAACGCATTTTGGCATTGTGCACCGGCAATCGTGAACTCTGCATGCGTAGAAGGAAGTCTGACTCTATGGAAGTGCAGTAGATAAAGATACAGGCGAAAAAGGGGTGTGAATTGAAGGAGGCGCATTAACATTGATGACGGAGAATCCCTGAATCCTTCGCAACGAAGGAGTTGAGACTGGCGTCTGCATTTGTTTTTACCTTATTTCCCGTGCAAAATCCGTGTTTAGGTGTCGGAAATGACACAACGGTTGTCCTCGCATACGGGACGGTAGCTCGTCCCTTTATCCCTGTAACATATCTGTTGCATACCAGAGTTCCACCGTCTATTCCTGGAAACGACTGATGGTCAACAGATGTAGAGAGCCCCGAATCTGGTTGTCAGACCGGACGTAACTTCAGATCCAGTTGAAGCTGCCGAGAAGATCAGGTGCGGTTCCTCGCCCTCGTGTTGTCTATCGACTTGCGCGGATGGCTCGTGGACGCTCCTTGTAGTACCGAATATGTTGTGATGGCTGGCGCGGAAGGTGTTCCAAAGGGGAGCGCCGAGGACGTCGCCAAAAAGAAGAGAGGAGTAGTGTAAGGCTTTGTTTGTGTGACTGCCTGGTGTTTGGCGGTCACTTTGGAATTTGCCTGGTCCCTGTACACGTGGGCTGGCCTTCGGACCACACTGAGGCCCCATTTCTCCTATTGTCTTCGGAATACATGTATTAAGCCTCACTTATGCCTTCTACTACCCCATGGTAAGCCTCGGGACGCTGCAAAATGGAAGTCTGAAAATTGTAAAACTACTTTTGTTCTGATTCCTTTCGGTAGCGAAGAATATTACGGTGTAAATGAAATCTACCATAGCTTCGCTATAATCGCAAGCATTCACTAATTTAGGCGGTGGCTAGTTGCGAGATAAGATATAAAAAAATTACGATAAAATGTGGTCATTAAACTCCAAAATACATATAAAGGCAGGAGGGAAAATATGGTCACTTATATCTCAATCGAATAATGCATTACAATGGCTTCATTGCTATTCAGGTGTAACTTTTTATTGCAGAAAAGAGGCGGATATTTTTACACAAAACCCGTGGTGGAGGAACGTGCAGACTGCAATAATTTGTTTATTTGGTCACTCGATGCCATCAAGTCCCGAAACATGTAGTCCAGCCACGCCAGGGCCACATCTCTTCTCTTTGAACGTGACGCCTTCTTTCACTTAGTGAGCAGCCTCGGAGGCTTACAAGGATCCTTACGTAAAGAAAAGCTGGATGTTTGTCTTAGTCATACCCACTTTTCCTCATGCATTGAACCAGATGTCTACGAAATCCTCACAGAGCATTCCTTCGCTCATAAGGATGGAATTCAATGATTCTGGGTGTAGGGTGGGGAGTTTGCATTGATTGTAGGGTTTCGAGACTTTCCACCGGGTATACGAAAACACTAGGTAGGAGTGAATGTTGGTATCTAAGGGAGAGAAAATGGGTCAAGTGACCTGACAAATCTTAAAGTAACCGTTGTCCTTTATATAATTTGGTTTAAAATTTTACGGCATACCCTTGAACCCCAACTTAAAGAGAAGGTTAGTTCCAGTGGACTTTTTAGGCATTGAATACAGGAAGAATGAGGATAGAAGTACAGACGAGCCGAATAGAAGATATCACTCGTTGAGGGATTTCTCACGATTCGTGTTCGAATGCGCTTCCCGCCTCCTCCCCTATAAAGTCAACCTAAACACTGATGTATATTACATATGTGATGCCATTTTATTTAATTACCTTTATGAATGGCCGTCACCGTGATATTCATTTTGCACCTGGTTGCTGTAGCTGGCCCTTAGGCCAAGCGAAATTTCAAACCCACTCGCCTTCCTTCAGAACCACTATGTGGAAAACCTTAATTTGTTCATGTGATCACTTTGATATTCATCAAGCCCTTGAAGCATGAATTGGCCTTTGGGGTAAGCCAAGGTTCAAATTGCATATTTAACTCAAACTTAATACCTTTTTCAACCTAATGGGAAGTTTTGGGTGCTAAAATTACTGTGACAAGTTTTAAGCTCGACAATTTACTACGCGCTAAATCTTGTTTCGGTTCTGATTTGCTAATTTAGCACAAAATCTATTAGTTATGTAAACGTGCACCATTTAAAAACATTCCCCAATAAATACGTGCTTTCCAACACTAACGAGCGTTGTCGTTAAAATATTATTTCTCCTCTAAAAATGCTTTTATTCTCGCTGCGACACTATATTCCAAGGTCGAGCAACCTTTTGACCACCGTTGTTTCAGCCCCTGAGCCAGCAAAGGCGTGTCTTTGCTACTTGCTTTAGTTGCCAGTCGGTCATGGGCAGCCTAGGCATTCCGGTTGATGTACGTGTAGATGTTTTTGAGAGGAAAAAAGTTCACGAGGCTCAAGTATCAGAGAAACTTAAGAAAATTTGTTTCTCCGATATGAGGAGGTAGTTTACTCATTTTCTACTAACTTATAATTAGAATTAAAGCTCTTGCCTCTACTGGATACCGGAGCGAAGCGGATGCTGCCCTTTGGCTTCTTTCTCACCTAGATGATCCTCTCTTGGATGAACCCTTTTACAGGGATTTCTACTTATTCCTGTGTGTTCGTTCGGATTTGGCCCAAAGCGTTCTTGATTTCTGGGATGAGAGTTCCGTGAGCGAAGGGTGGAATTACGCCCACGAGTTTCCTCCACATATTACTCTTCTGTCCAATCTAAGAATTTCGGAAGACAAAGTCCTTCTGCTTCATAATGTATATGACAAAATCATACAAGAACATTCTGATCTCCTGAAATTCGATGAAATTCCGCTTAAACTTGTGACTTCGGATGATTTTATTGGGTACATCGTCTCAAGCGATAAAGTGAATGCGAGTCTGGAGAAACTTTGTCGCGTGTTCTTGCAGGAGCTCTTGAACGGTAGGCGGAAATAATCGTTTCCACTATTGACCGATCCTCTCATTTCAGCTGGTATAATATTTGAGGATAATCCTATGCGAAGGTGTAAATCAAATTACCACATGTCTCTTGCCTACGGTTTTCAAGCAGCCAACCGAAACAGCCTTGGAGAGCTTCAGGACTCCTACAACATGAAATCTCGGCTATTGATTTCGTGGACTTTGGATCTGTTTTCCGGTGATTCGAGATTATCTACTCCTGACTCGGAGGTAGTTGCATCTCATAGCGTCTAATTTATTTTCTATAATTAGCTGTACGAGATGCAAACTACGATAGAGGTGGATGACGCATTGTTTTCGAATCTTTCCCTGGAGGACAATCCTCAAACAGATAGCTCCCCTCCACAGCTCACTCCTTCATCACCAGAGATGGGCCAAATTATAGTTGGGGATCACTTATCATCCTCCGCCTCTTCAGTAGGAGCGGGTCGAACTCCAGATTCAGACAGCCTTCAGCCACCGGGTCACGCTTCGTACAATGAGGTCCCTACTTTAGCTGAGTCTCCGCATCTTCCCAACACTCTGGCACACTCAGCTGGTGACAAGGTTCTCTTTATTGGGTCGTGCAACTTGAACGGTCGATATGGGGTCCCGGTGGGCATAAATCTCTCTTCTGGGCTGACAGGGGTATTCAGTCTTGCCTCAGCCCGTAGGATTCCTAAATGGAGTGCCTGGGTCACGCATAGGTACGCTGTTTTCCTTTAAAAAGTTCCACTATCGCAGCGTTTAAACCCTTTTGTTTGACCTTGGCGTCTCAATTATGCGTGATGGGCCTGTGTTTCGTTCATGATAACTAGCGGCGCCGCATTTTGTGGTAGGCGGACCTACTAGCTCTAAAAGCATAGCATTAATTTCAATCGCACTTTGTTTATAACCACCAATCGAGAGAAATAGTTATGGTAGATGTTGCATTGGGGAAAACATCCCGATTGTAGTAGCGGTAGAGGTAAAAGTGACGGTTTGAGCCTTGTACCACTTTATCCTTTGGTCGTTCATGGTGTAGGAACATCGGGGTGTCCCATTACCATTACCGTGATTAGTAGCGTTTTGCTGATGCAGCCCCCTCCTAAATGTACCTTGAGCGGCTTTGATGATCAAGCACCCATTTAACTGCTTATAATGGCCGAAGAGCCTCAGGTGTTGCAGTTGTAATAAGTAGGCTTTACAACATAGCCATATTCTTGGTGTCTTGGATGACCGTTTCTTGTGATCTCATTTAAACCATAGCTACAGCCTTTGTAGCAGCGATTCTGTCGCAAATGTTTTCGTTTACTTTGCGGGGGCACTTGAGTCGCTGACGCAACTTTAGGATCATCCATAATTCGTCTGCAGGGAACATACGCTAGCTCTCCATCAAGGCCTAAAGATACCCGATTTCTACTTTTACTGTGTTAACGCTTAGTTGCTTTCCTAATTGGTTTGTGAGTTCCGCCAGCTTTATGCTACTCAAGTTAAGTTGGATCGGCTCTTCACGACGGGTGCATCTTATGTTCAACTGTTTCCTAGGGACAGGCATCCGATGTGACATGGTCTTATGGGTCGAATGCTATTAATCGTTTTGTTTTACGTCGATACTGTGTTGAGACGCAGTTGAGTGGACCCTGAGCCCTCTCAATTTTACTGGGTTGTTACTATAGCCTGGTGCTGCGCTTTCCCCATTTTAATTCCTCTATTCTGCCTTGACTGTGCCCTTTCAGGAATTCTATCCATAATTTTCCTTTGAATATCTGCTTCACAATAGTGTGGCTGTTGGGATCATAATCGCGTGCACTCAGTCGAACTTTATGTCCCGTCTTGGTGCATACAATGCGCCTTCTCTCCCCCTCTGTGTTGCCCACCTCCGATGGCGGAAGTTTCCCTCTTTGTTATGGGGGTGGCGGTAATGGCGACTAGGCCTCCCCTCTTTCCCCTTTCCTTCTATCCTCCCTTCGTGCAGTAAGGGTAAAATTTATGGGTCGGACGGGCCTTGATGTACTTTTCGCTGCCTAGACGGTGGCTACACCCATTTTCGCAGTCCGTGATCTCGTGCATCCTCCTCTACTTCGCTCGTACAGCGGCATTGGTTTCCATGTTTTTGTTGCTCATTTCTCTTTGTCTGTGGGCTATTAACAGAACTGGCATAGGTGGAATTCTGTGCTACCGTATCGTTGACTGAGGCAGGAAATAATGGGTTTGCAAACTGTTTTACATTTGTTGAAGGTGCAGTTTAATTACCTAGCGGTAATACTGGCTTGAATTTATGTGTCCACGAGTCACTGCACTACCTTCTCATGAGGTTATTTGTTCGCGACCCAACTTATTCACTGTTCTTGCGTATAAATAAAGGGAATGCGTATTTGGATCGTTTTCATGCAAAATCGTAGTCTACGTTCACGAACTTGTTTATTCTGTCCTCCTCGTGGCAAGTCGCAGTCATTCGCGAGGTCCCGTGTATTCACGTCGTCTATGACGGTCTGTAGTGCGGTGTAATTTAAAACCTCCTGTTAGCGCTTCATGAGGGCCTCCTTTTTTGAGGGTGAAATTTTACTACTAAAGGAGATCGAAGAGTGATTGCAGTTGTAGGATCAGCAGTAGAAGCGGATTATTTTCTCGTATGACGTCAATGCAGTGTTCACTAACTCGCTCACAGGCTGACTTGCGCACTGACAAGCAGACATTTCTAAGAAATTGGTTGGATTATGAAGGGACGCAGCATGTGTGCGATTGTTTTTTCCTTCATTCTAATCCTACGCACAAAAGGTCAAGAAAGGGGAGGCAGGCGTCGAAGGGCAGAGTCACGTGTCCCCCTTTGTCCTTCTTTCAGGAGTGGAATTTCCGTTGTTCAGTACGAACAGCGAAACGTACGTTCCCTCCATGCATTTGCTTTTGTTCTTATGCACTGTCTATCGCACTGTTAGTTAGTACAATGAGGTAAGTTGTGTTAAAAAAAGGCAATATAAATTCCTTGCCTGTCCGTTTCGGCTGCGTCTTGCCCGGGTTGGTGAGATGATGGCCAAGCGTGTGAACGCATTCCCGAGCTGTCGTAGCTCGGGTCGTGAACAGAGCATCGAAGATTATTACACTGACAGTCACATAGGCATTCGTGCTCATCGTAGGTGAGTGACATCTCTGTGCTTCCTTCACCGAGGCCAAATGCATGAAATATCGCTCGTATGTTTTCAAAATCGGGGTTATCACCACAAATGTATGCATTACTTCAAATCATAATCTAAATTTGATAAATTCGTTTTGACCCTGCTTTCCCGTCCTCTAAAGCTCAAATTTCTTTCTTAACACCGAAGGGCGAAACCTGGTTATCGGCGCGCCATTAGTGATGTCGAGTAGCGCCTCCAGGACCTCAGTTGTTTTTGCCCTAACATCGAGTTTGATGGCCCTTCCATTACTTTTTTTAAATCTTCAATCGGGTTTACGAAGACATTCAGCCTAAACATGACAACAACCTCTAGGTGCTTGTTGGCTTCCTTGTCTTATCGGTTGGGGATGCTCTATTGCACACTTCTGCTCTGTGAGTAGTTTCAAAACTCATTTGGCGCTCAGTTGACAATTGAGAGTAGTGCCTCTCCCCCCTCCTCTCCCTTGTGCATTTTGTTTATTTGCGCCCGACTTGTAACTTGATTCCGGTGTTCTCCTTTCAGGTCTACAGCAGTCATTGGATGTCAGGAGGATAGTCTTACAGCCGAACTCTGCAATACCTTTGTAGCACCGTCTAGAGTGAGTTACTGCTTGGTGCGACATGCCTAGATGTGCATGCCAAATTAACGAATTTGTTTGTACTTCCTCACGTGCCTACAGCCCTTTTAATTTGGTCTTGTCTTCCAGGTGTTGCTACTATTAATGTCTAATGTCTCAGCCTCGGGTTTGACGCCCAGGTCGGGTTGGAGTTCCATTATTACACTTTCTGATCATTTTTTCTTGAATAAAATGAGCTGTATTTGGAATATCAAAGACCGTTTCTCTACAAGTGCCCGGACCACTTAATGTTGGACGAGTTTGGCAAACTGTTTCATTTCATTTCATTTCATCCTTGGGGAGCATTATTTCGTCACCCTGAAGACCTTTCCACGAGATGACATCCTTTTTTTCACAAACACAAAGGCCTTCTTGCTCTTGTGTCCCCTTTGAGGGTGTTGTCGGGTGCGTAGCTCTGAACCAAACTTCATTATAAATGCACAGAATTAGTGAGTTGGCAATTAAGATGCGATGGTCCACATTTATGGTGATTTCATTCTGAGGATATCGAAGAATTCGTGGACTGAAATTACTGACTGAAACGTAACTTTCCTCCAAGAGGGCTGTTTTTGTCGCTCCTCCCATCATTCCTTCTTTGTCGTCCATCAAAATACAATGGAAAACGACACCTTAGAATAATTTGCACAAGATCATTCAGGTAGAAAGTCAGTTTTGTTGTGTAAAATGTTGAGGAGTTCACTTCTAGATTCCGGCGTCTTTCTCCGCGCCGACGGATTTCTGCGAGCCCTTGGCAGTGCTGAACAATGAAGCTCCTACCGCCTCCCTGGCTGTTGGCATCAACGTTGGTAGTGGTAGTGGGTTTTGCTCCAAACTCCTCCCTCGTAGTTGCCGTCGCAAATCTACTTCTTCCAGTTCCTCTTCTCCCTCTTCTCCCTCGGCCCTCCAGACTACCGCCACCGCTGGATGGAAATTTGGTGTCAAAACATCCTCTCCATCCGCCATAGGATCTCCCTCTTCCTCAATTTTTGCTTATCGGTTCTTTGGAGGCCTCTTGGGTTCCAATTGCAGCAATAGCAACCCGCAGCAGCAACCACAGAAGCCTCAACGCCACCTCTTTGTCATGAGACACGCTGAACGGGTTGATATATGCTTTGGGAGGGCCTGGACCACTCGTTGTATCGATAGGCGAGGTAAGTCATACTCCTTCAATCATAAATGGAATTTGCGGTTCCGTCAGCAAAGTACTGGCGATTCATTGGTGTTTTGGGGGGTCTTTGTTGTTGCTTTATTAGCCTTAAACGCAAAAAAGGGGCAAAAAATGTACATTCTCTGTTCTCATTCATCTGTTCATTGTTCTCAAACTTACTTTTATGCATGCTTTGCAGCAGCCCTTGAACGGGAGAGTTGATTTGTTAGTACCGGTGAATCACTTTACGCCAGTCTGTCTACCTCACTGTGTTTGTCTCGGCGTCCACTGGAGGTGCATTAACTCCTCCAAATTGTACCACAATTTTTCGCCAACATTCATGACTTTCGTAGAGCCGACTGCCTCTCACTCGTTCCCTATCCTTTCATTACGTCTCAATTTCAGTTGGTTTAATATCATCCCACAGAATGGGTGGAGGAGTGCGGATTCGGGTGGACCGCTGTGGTGCCAAAATTGCCTTTTGCTTTTTTGTTCCTCACACTCCTCATAGTCACTGTTGTGCTTCAACCATTGCGTTGTTGGGTATCTGAGGGTTGCAACTACCTCCAGGTTGGGAAAGAAGACGCTAGGCTTATTTTTCTCCATGTAATTGCTACTACTTATGTGTTTTATTAAAAATCTTGGACTTCTCAATTTGCACAAGATGAATTTCATCGACACGGAAGTAATGCCGCAGGC